ACAGCGCTCGCTTTTCTTGACCAACGCTTACGGCGCTTACGGTGGCAACGTGGAAAGCCCCAAATAAAAGCTTACGGCGGCTTACGGCGCAACATGCGGAACGATATTGCTTACGGTAGCTTACGAAACCCACACGTTTGCTTACGGCAAGGTCCTTATTGCCACTCGCTAATGGGTTTCCCACTAGAGGGTTTTGATCTCTGCTCTTTTGGGGTGTTGCATGTTGTGCCTTCCTAGACTTTCGTTCTCCGCGGCTTTTGCGTGGCCACCCCGCCCTGAACACTTGCCAGCAGCACCTGGTCGGACAGGAAACTCCAACTCCAACTCGTTTGTGGGCTGGCACGTGCCACCAGCAGGAGTGTAGCGCGCCGACCTGCAAGGCAAGTGGGTCACGTCGTAGAGTGTGCCCTTTCCAAGGCTCCACTTCTGCGCCCCGCTTGCATCCTTCTCTGAAACTGTCAATGTGGTAGTGACTTCTCGGTCACCGGTCACCAAGTATTTTCCTGGAGGCAATGGGAACCTTCGAGGCTCTGAGATTCCAGAACACGTGCAACAGCCTAGAACACCATTCTAGGGGTTCAAAGATGACAGTGATACTTTAGCACAAGGCGCCCAACGGACTGGAACAAAGACGTTACCTCATTGCGTCACCAGGCAACTCGGGCTTCTCCATGATCAAGCCATGCTCCTCAAGCCACCAGTCATTCTTGTCAAATTGCCATTGCGCTGGGGCAACGCCTCCACGAGCCATGAGTTTGTCATAATTATACAGCCGCACACCACGAGGGCCTGGATCTTTTCTCCACAAGCCCCACTGCTCTGCTCCTGCTCCAGAACTGGCCGTCGGATTGGCCAGCGCTGCAATATACTGGATGTCCCTCAGCTTTTTCCATTCAACCTTGGAATCGTCTGCAACTGCAGGGCTGGCTGCAGCCAGCCCTGCTGGCATGGCCGCCATAAGTCCGCGGCGACCAACTCCGGACGTATCCTCCGCTGTCTCAGTTGCACAACCAGCTCTCTCCTTGCCTGCACAGGCAAATGCTTCTGGGTCAGGACTCCGTGCTTCCCAGAGGAGGAGGACCAGAGCTGCCACCAGGGCTGCAGGCCTCACGCGACTGCCTGGCTTCATGGCTTCGAGAAAACCTGCCGCGACCAACCCTCAACCACTGCACGTAGATTTGGGCCAAATGGCAGTAGCCGGTTTCCCCGCCAAAGACAAGGCCCTGCGAGTTACTGCCCTATGCTGGCCTGCGCTGATTGGAGGAGCATGTGCCAGTCCTGGTTTGCGACGGCATGATGGCTCAAAGGTGAATCTGCACATCCATTTTCAGCTGATGGCTTTCTGGGCCGCAAGCCGCGCGAGCAGTTTGTAAATGCTTGCTGGTCATAGCCTCAGCCCCCAAGCCATGGCAAACATGTCAAACCAGAACTCTGACAAATCTTAGGCGAGCACATCATCTCCATGCACAAGGCTGTCTGTAGGGCTGGACGGTACGTCACAGCGGCGCTGATTGGCTGCGGTGCTGGATGTTGCAGAAAAACATCTGCCCCATCGCCGGGTGGGAAGGGGTCCCGTTGCAGGCTGTGCAGGCTGCGCTCTGGATCTGCTTGCCAGCTCCGAGAGCGGCTGTCTCCGCACTTCGTTGTCAGATTTGTCAGAGTCTAGGTCTATCGCATCTATCGCTGTTGCCAAGAGCATTGCGCCACTCGCGCCAGCACATGGCAGCAGATCATCACATGCTTCTCTTACCTTGTCATATTGCCATGGACTTGCTCCTGGGCCTTCAGGCATAGTGCTGGCTTCTTGATCTCTTCATTGCCCTTGCGTAATCCTTTTCAAGTTCAACTCTGGAGCATGGACAAGATAGCCTTCCGTACGCACGATTCATTTGCTTGGTGAAACCCCAGGGTACCAGCTTTACCCCAGCTGGTACAAAGCTGGAGCCAAAGATCAACAAGAACGCCTCTCTCTCGCAGTTCTCACGACGCAGCCTGAAGAGTAGTACAGTAGGCATATCCACTCAAACCCAAGCAGATCCTCCCAGCACCGTAAGTAGGGCCAAGGCCTTGGGATTAGGGAACAGCGAGATGCTGCTTTCACACAAACTGCTCCTCCAACACCCTGCATCCTACAAGCAATGTTCTCGCATCATATGGTTCAGCAAAATAACAAATTAGTCTGCATTTTGCTCCTCATGCTTCCCGCGCTGCTTAGCAGGGCGGCTCTTGAAGTCGTTTAGTCAAGATCTTGGAGCTCGGCAAACAGAGGTCCGCACCCTCCCAGGATGCGTCCCCTCAGCTGGCGGCCAGCTGCACAGCGCGGATAATCCCGCCTTGATTTCAGGCGGCTCATCTGCAATTGCAGATGCCGCGCCAAGCCGGGCAAGTCCTTGTCATCCATTGCACTGCGGAATGCCAGGGTGCTGTCGTGGGGAGTCGGAAGTTGCAACGTCGGAGCAAGTTTTTTGGGCGGCAGGTCCGGCTGGGCATGAAACGCCAGGGATTCCACGGGGTGAGTCGCTCCCGAAGCCTCTTTTGTCTGGCGAGCTAGTTGCAAATCTTGCTCTAATCTGGCCTTGCACTCCTGCAAAGCTCCCAGCTCTGCAGTTGCTTGCTGCAGTGCTTCCTGCTGGGAGCCAAAATCTTTCTTGAGCTCCGCATGTTCCCGCTTGAGAGCTGCATGCTCCTTGTCGAGGCTGTTGACCGCCACGCGCTTCTCAAAAAGCTCATCCCGGACATCCGCTGCATGTCCACCCAGGACCCTGAGGTCTGCTTTCAGCGCCAAAAGCTGTTGTTCCCTGCAGTGAGCTTGTGCAGATGCCTCCTGACAGAGTTCTTCCGCCCTGGTTTTGGCAAGCGTGCAGTTGAAAGCGTCCACGCGGGAAAGCTGTTCCCGCTCCTGCGCACGGAGGAGCTGCACCTGCGCCCCGCGCTCCTGCTGACCAAGCTCAGCACAAACCTTCTCAAATTCCAAACATCTGCTCTCATACTTCCTGGTCTCGGCTTTCTGCTGTAGCAGCTCCTCGTTGACATCTTCCAGTTTGCCTGTGAGCTTTTTGATCTTGGCTTCCAGTGATCTCACTTGCTCCTCTGTCTTCTCCCGGAGGCTCTTTTCATTCCTCCACTCCAGCTTGAGCCGCTCGATTGGCACGAGCTGCTCACGTAGCTCCTCCTGTGACTTTACCGCATCCTTCAACTTTTTCTTCAAGCCAATGATCTCTTGGCGAAGGACCTCTACGCTTGGAGCCCCTTTCTCACTTCGGCTTGGGGAGCTCATGCCCGATGAATAAGCATGTTGCGTGATAACGACAAGTAGAAACTGCACTCACAATGGAACGAGAAGTTTTCTATGTATCCAAAGTTTGCACGCAACCTATGCTTTCAACTTCCCATGCTGCATGCGAAAGCACAAGTTAAGCAAGAAGGTCTGAATACAAATGGCTTCGGCTGTAAGCCAGAAGTTCAATAGTCGCCAGTGTTTCCGCTTATCACATGCTGACCCTATCAGAAGCGAAGAGTCGAAAACAAGGCTGCTCAGCTAGCTTTTTCTAGCAGCTGCTGCTCCATTGCCGAAACAGCTCGGTCCAAGTACGACATCCGGCTGTGATGTCTGTGAGACATCAAAATCGCAAACAACCCTCCCGCAAAAACGACATCCGTCGCACTATGGCCGCTCCCTCCCTCATCTTTAGGCAGACGATGGTCCACGACTTCATCACGCTGAAAATTGTACGTTCGGATTTTCTCCGACCGGTCCCCTGTTCCTCTTTGGTCCTTGCGCTCCGTGCGTTCGAATTCTGACCGAGCCGACAGCTGTTTGTCCAGCAACTTGGTGCGCAGCATTTCAACGGCACGAATCCGATTCTCGTGTTGAGATTGGGAGGTGGTAGACTGAACTGAAAGGCCGGTGGGAATGTGGATGGCACGAACTGCCTGGTGCGCGGCGTTGACGCTCTGTCCACCTGGACCAGACGACTTCTTGCTGATCTCGATTTTCAGGTCGCTCGCAGAAAAGACCACGTCCTCCTCTTCTGCAACGGGCAGAATGACTACTGCAGCGCTGGAGGTTTGCATGCGGCCCTTCTTGTCAGTGCTGGGCACCCGTTGGACACGGTGAACTCCAGACTCATGACGAAGCCAGCCATAAGGGGCGGTCTCCTGCAGGCATGACTGCTGTGACATGCAAACCGCAGGCTTTTGAGCTTTTGCCTCGTCGCTGCCGCCAGACACACGGGCCTTGGAGCTTTCCAAGCTCTGCTCAGATGCTCGCTGCAACATAAACGCAAAAACTATGCCACTATTCATGACTGTTGCATTGCTCTGAGGCAGAAGCAGAAGCAAACAGAATGCCACCTCCAACGCCTTCATTCACCGCGTTTACCTCTCAGGGCAACTTTACATAAGGTCTGAGGCCGTTGTTCCGAACCCCAGACCCCAGAAGCAAGCCAACACCCCTTCACGAGATGTGCAAGTGTGCTGAATCCAGTAGGCTGTCTTCTGCCTCGAATTGCCAGCCACGTGTGTCTGAAAAGCGCTCATACCTCCAATCGTGTTGCCAGCAAAGCTTGCTGCTTGAGGTGGGGTTGGCCAATCGCGGCAACTCATGCGGGGGCGTACATTTCGAAGAGCTCCCTGGTGAAAATGGCAGCCTCCTCAGAGGTTTAGTCATGCTGTTGGGGGAAATCTTGCACCAACCTAAGTCCCACAATCTCCAGGATTGATAGTACATCTGGGATCGGAAGTGGCGAAAGAAATGTGCAAGATTTCCTCCATGCCAGACTGACTGTTGCCATGCTAGCCTGAATAACAGTGTCGACTGGCCCTAATTTCAAGTTTTCCACTAAGGAAATTCTGGCTTAACCTGCAGGTGTCCAGAAGCCGCGGCACTTCCCTATGGGGCCTCAAATTTGGTGCTGCCCGTCATTACTAAACTCCCCAAAACGATTTGACTCCTTTTTTGTCACGCCTCCTGCAGAGACGGAATTTAGGCGAAAGCCTTTGGCTTGGCCAAGGATGGCATCCAGTCTGCACTGCTTGCCACTAGGTGTCAAGACTACACGCATTTGGATACTTTGCAACGGAAGGTCCTCCATGGGATAAATACAAACTGTGAGCTTAGGAAAGTTACAGAGTTACATCCAGTTTCAAAAGAGAAGCAATTGAAAGTGGTACCACACCGTGGGTGAGAGCAGCCAGCTGAGCCAGCTGCAAAGTTTTGAAAGCTGCGAAGAGGAGGCCTTTGCCTCTTTGCAAAAAGAGGTCCGTCAGCATGCTGACTGTCCTGCTGGGACCCTAGCTTCATCACATAGATGCTTGTTTGCATGGTTGCTCACGAATAAATATTGTCTGCGTCAGTACTGTTGCAAAGCTGCAGAAAATTGCTGCATGCCTCACCGCATCGAAATCAGATGCTGTATGAGCACCTGTTGATCACACAAAGAAAGAAGGTCGCAACTCCTTGTCAAACCCGTAGGCCGAGGCACACTTTCAACGAGACCGTGTCCTTTGTAGATATCTGCTTGAGCATGTCGGACGGCTTCGCGGATTGTCCTGAGCTCAAAGCTTTCAAGATGAGCATCCCAAACTCCCGTGGACTGCTTGGAAGACAGGTTCTTTGAATACACCTCGGTTGACGAGCCTCAGCATGAATGTCACCATGGCTGTCCTTGTGGCGGAACCCAGTCTACGATCAGCCCCCCACCACCCGCCCGCTCACCAAAGCAAAGATCGATGGCATTTGATGTTACCATGGGCATGTACAGTTGAGGTCAGGCAGCACTCTCGCACAACGCACCTGACAGGTTCCGGTCTGATGATTTTTGAACACGTCTGGATGTCTATCCACCTGGTGAAGCTGTTTGGATGCCTTACCTGGTCAGACTTAGAAGCCCTTGGCAAATTACAAATTGAGGAAGATCAAGGACGGTCTTTTCTGAGGCACGACATGTGTGTTAGGTTTTTGATGCCATCATGTCGGATCAGCCTTCATGGCCTCGCGCAAAAACCGCACAAGTGGTCGGTGCGGCGTTCTCAGCAACAAAACGGTAGCTTGCTTCTCACTTGTCCGCTCCCTTCATAACATGCCCAAATCAATGGATGCCGCCATCGGATGACAGAAATATTGCCTGATTAGTTCAGAAGTGAGATTGCGCATCTTTCTGAAATATCCACACTAACGCCAGGGGTAGGCGGGTCCAGTGCGCATTTGTTTTCAAGTCCAGTGCGCATCTGTTTGACGATTCCGTCCAGCGCGCATCAATTTTCAGTCTCAGGGTTTAGGGTTTAGGGCTTAGGGTTGAGGGTTGAAGGTTGAGAGGTTTTGGTTTAGGGGTTTTCAGGTTTAGGGGTTCTGAGGTTTAGGGGTTTTAGGGGTCCAGGGGTTTAGGGTTTGGGGCTTACGGTTGAGGGTTTGGGGTCCAGGGGTTTTAAGGTTTAGGGGTTTCAGGGTTTAGAGGTGTTTTTGTTTCAGTGGATTTAGGGTTTAGGGGTTTTAGGGTTTGGGGGTTTTGGGGTTTTGGGTTTGGGGTCTAGGGTTTATCAGTTTTAGGGTTTAAGGTTGTTGGGGTTTGGAGCTTTTAGGGTTTTAGGCTTCGGATTAGGGTTATGTTTAGGGGTTTAAGGCTTCAGGGGCTTCACGGATCAGAGGTTCTTCAGGGTTTAGGGATTGAGGAGTTCTGTGTTTACGGTTTAGGCTTGTTCAGGGTTCTTCGGGCTTTAGGGTTTAGGGTTGAAAGGTTTTTTTTGGGAGGGCCGTAGGGTTCAGGGGTTTTAGGGTTTAGGGATTTAGGGGTTCAGGGGCTTAGGGGTTTAGGGTTCAACCCTAATCCTTATAGGGTTTAGGGGTTTAGGGGGTTTAAGATTTAGGGATCGAGGGGTTTTTGGGTTTAGGGGTTTTGGGGTTCAGG